TCAGGAAGGAAGAAAAGTACAAAATTTAACTGAGGTATGACTCGGTCCCACCCAGTTCTTTATTGGGAGAATATTGCCTAGCTTATTATCATAAAATGTTTAGCACAGGGACCTAAGTAACTTTTAACCCATGTCTGGATTTCTTCTGTGTTACTTGATCTTGTGAAACATTTATCTCCCTATCTTCTGCCACTACAACCTACACACCAAAGACCCACTTTCTAGGAACTGTGTTTAAAGATGAGTCAGTGCATGTATTTGGATCTGACACACTTAATTCCACTGCTCCGTCTGTGTGAGGTAACACAGAAGAGCAGGTGAAAAGAGTCAGAGAGGCTCTAGGATTCAGACTGGATCCCAGATGTTTTATGCGTGACAGCATGATACAGGTTATCAGGAGGGGAGTTACAAACAGGCATCAGAAGGCACATGGTGATTGAGTGTAATTACTTCACTGGAAAGGAAGGAAGCATGAACTAACAATACGAAGTTAGGGGTATGTCTGTCAGCATGTTAAACAACATTCATTTATTAACATCTAAGGCTATCTATACATTATGGAGATTACATTGTGTGTTATTACCGGCTGCCTTGCTCAGGACTAAAGTTTGAATCTGTGAGCTGCAGAGCGAAAGATGTCAATGTGAGCAGTTCAAGGGAATGAGCTTGGTTCCAAGGTTGGTGTTGCCAAAGATTTATTTCTGTTGATAGGCACTCACTGAACAGGCAGTTTTACATGTTAGAGTAGTAAGACCAAATCTTCACCTGCCCTCCTTAGAAAATCCGAGCATGAAAAGTTACTTTGGGAATAGCAGTAGTATTATATGGGGAGGCTTTCCAGACAGTAGTGCTTCCCTCACAGGGCCATGCGCATTGCTGCTCACCCAGGCATGACAGGAATCTGGCAAACACTTATACATTAGTTCTCACAGAATATGGGCATTCATCTGGGGCTCTGGCTAAATTTGTCAATTTACTATTGTCATAGCAATAAATAAATACAAAGACAGAAACTCTGCATGATTTGTTTTGTTTCAGACACATTGTGTTCCAGTTCTTCAAATGTTGCCGTCCATGATGAGATTATTCCAGCCTCAGTGTTTTTCAAGATCCAGCACTTACAAGTCACATCACTGGACTAATACTGCATCTAAGAAGATAGGTAAGCACTGCAGCTTTGCTGCTTTTCTTGGTAACATACTATGAATTATTTATGCCATCTCTTTGTTGTCCTGGAGGCTTTGATGAAGGGAAAAAAAACACATGAGTATGCAGCTTCATTTATAGACCACAGTAAAATGGTTTACGAAACAGGTGCATCAGTGGGTAGTAGAGTTGGCTACAAGTTGTTGTAGGGATAGGCTGACCACCTACATGGATATCATGTGTTAGCTGAAATTGTACCAAGAGGAAATTTGCTGGATCCTATCATAGAAGATCTGTTATTACCTGAATATAAGAAGAGTATTTTTCTTTCTCTTATATCCCTGTGAATCTGGTGTTACATTGGCAGTATAGCTTGGAAAAACTGTCATGCACATCCCATCTTAAAGAGATATGTAAGTACGAGCCTGACTTTAGAAAATAATGTAAAACTGTTAATGAACAGTTTCATCAGAGCATGAACCAGCTGGCTCCCATTTCTGTAGTATCTGAATGTCACAAAACTTCAGTGAATGTATTGTCTGTACATGTTTCTGTAATGGCACCATTCCCTGTTTAGCAGTTGGGAATGGCACACATATTTGTGGACTTCCAAAGAGAGCTACTCATGTAATATGCTTTTATGCATTCCTCGGAGTCCCACAAAGCATCTTTCAGCAATTTTGGACTCCTAAAAGTCTTCGTAGTAGTGGCTGTAAGTGATTTTCTGAGGATGTCCATGGGAGAGCTGGAACCTGAATTTAGTTACATTGTTACGCCAGAAATACCCTGTTCTTGCAATATATAACCAATGGTTCTAATAAAAAATGAGAGAAGACAAATGGGTGCATATCTACATTCGTCACAGAGACAAGGTAAGTGCATTTAACTGTTTTTATGTGTGGTATTATAGTGAAAGGCAGGTGTCATCTTGTCCATCGCCCCAAATTCTGCACATCTTTGCTTCTGCGCCTTCTATTACTGCCTAAAACAATAGCCCATAATAAAGTAGGTTGCTGAAGACTATGTAGATTCTATTACATGTGCAGCTGCTGCAACATTTTTAATTCAGTTTGTTAAGGGATATAGACATCAGCTCGATGAAATTATCTGCCTCTGACAAATGTGGGATAGGAGGGACCATTAGCAAATGCCATATGCTAACCTCAGCCTTGTCCGCACTATAATATAAGTTATGAACAAAGGCATATTCCCATTTGTAGTTACCTCGTATGAAAGGGACTTACAGGGTCATCACATCCATTGTTCATGGAGACTGGGGGATGAGGTTTGGGCGAGGGAAAGAGGACACAGGCAGATGCAAAGCTGTGTGATGGATGTGCCTGGTTACAGCATGAACAATAGCTGAGGAGTGAGGATCATGCTGAGCTTGCTGCTGTGGATTTACTCAAAATTTAATGAGCCCAATCTGCCACCTTTGCATCAAGCAGGAATTTTGCCATTGATTGGAAAGATGGCAGAATAAGGCCTAATATCAGACACCAGGTAATGTCATTAGTGCACAGTTTTGCTGCTATTCTTTTTAAGAGATACAAAGCCACCAGTAACAACACTTGCACGTGCTCTTGTCACTACTCCACAGAAAGGTGAGCTAGGGTTACAATGTTTTATCCTCTGCTCTAAAATGACTGCTGTACAGTTACACCTTGAGAAATACACATCAGACATCATGACTTTCAGTTTGCTTCTCCCGCATAGTGGCCTAATTACTAGTCTACCTTCCTGCCCAGAGAGTAAAACATGATCAAAGGGTTCTGAAGCTGCTCTAATTAGTTCTTACCTTCCAAAAGCTTGGAATAAAATCCATATTTTTTTAACAGCAGACCCCTGTTCTAGCTATTTGATTGTACTGTTCCCTTCAAAAGGTTTTTATTGGAGTGTTTCAGTCCGGTTTAGACATACTTCTTTTCAGACGACCTTGTCTTGCTTTTATTTTAGGAGGTATTCAGTATCTCACATTATGGTTTCCTGGCTTAGGACTAGAATCTAGTGTACCTCCATAGTAGAAATAATCTATGTCAAGAAGGAAGCTGTCTAGAACATCATTACTTAGAGTCTTGCTAGCAACTTGGAGTCATATTTGAGGTTAAATTTCTTTCTAGATAGTGATGTAGGCCAATCTGATTACTAGTGTTTGTGCATAGAAGTTGTCTTTGATACTGGATTATTTCTGCTTTTTCTCTATCAGTTTTTTGTCAGTGTTAATTGATTAAGTGTGCTGCTCCAGGCAGAAATACATAAAAACATAGAATCACATCCTGCAGCTAATCAATGGGCTGGTTTTTTAAAGTCTGCAGATCACATTACAAGGGCAACTGCTATTGCGGG